ACGGGAGCACTAACAGGATTAGCATTTGAGTTCTTACCCTTCATTCCTACTTTAGCAGTCTACAGTAGGTTGTGGAATTGAGCCAAGGTGGTCTCAGTGTTGTTCAAACGATAAGATAGGATAAACTGATCATAACAACTATGTAAGGAGTTCATGACCATGTCAATGGCCAGCTCCTCATCAAAATGCAGATTTAGCCTAACAAGGCGTTCCAAGTATTGTTGCATCTTTTTCATGTGGCTACATACATAATCTCCCTCCTTCATCTTGCATGCCATGAGGGCTTTGACCACTTCGTACTTTTCTTGATGAGATCGCTTATGAAACTTTTCCATAAGTTCCTTGTTCATCTCATAAGGCCAGTATTCCTCATAAAATCTCTACAACTCAGAGTTCATAGCCGCGACCATGATGCAAGCAACTTTTGTTGCATCTTCGTAATGGTTTTAGTAGGAGGCATATTCATCAGGAGTGGCTTTTTCTTCTTCGACTTCAATAGGTTCTTTCTCGAGGACATACTCTTTGTTCTCGAATCGAGGAGCCATTTTTATATTTCGCATACCATCATTGTAATTGGAACCATCCAATATGACTTTGTAGTAGATGGAGAGCAAAGAGAAGTTATGATAGTTGGAGGAGGAGGAAGCAGAAACATCAGCTGGAGTAGACATCTATAAAAGAAAGGTAGTTTTAGTTAGATAAGAATAGTCCTTAATGTAGTAACCCAAAATAAAATATTAAGGCTAAGACCCAACTATTTCACAACTTAGAAAAGGGATGACGTAATCTAATTGTAAATTTTAGAAAGGTAGCTAAATGACGATTTACCAATTCCACCAGAAAAGAAATGAAATTGAGTGAAATTCCAAGGCCTTTTAAGATTCATTGAAACTATTCAATGACATGTTTAATATCAGATTATGCTCTTCCATTTGTAACTGGGATACCAAGGATCACAAACAAGATGTGAATAAACATGCAAATGTGCTTGGTAACCTCATTGTCATTTACCGTCCCAATTGATTTGCTGGTAGACCACACACGCTCCATCAACATTGATTATTTATGAGATACCCATTACAACTCTTTATTAGTTCCTATTAGTCTGCTGGTTAACCACACATGCTCCACTAACGACTTATAAAGTGTAATATGCAGTTTCATGGGTTAGCATACAAATTCACATTTTTCCTAAAAGTAACTAGATTTGGGATTAGAATAAAAGGTTCTAGTAATTTTAATAACATTATACTTTTAATGATATTTAGTTGTCCTATCAAGCTCGTTTGGCTAACGACCCTCCACCACACAGGAGAGCGGGTGGGTAAGAGTGGACACTCATTATAGGTCGCTTCCTTATAACCTCTTTATAGCATGGTTTCGTGAATGAGGTCTACTATTGATTTGACTAACTTAATCTTATACATATAGTAATTGTTAAACTTTTAATTTTACATATAGTATAAGGTGTATTTTAAAACTTTTTCAAAATACTAGGTTTATAATTAAATTTCGAAAATTAATAAACAATTAATTTAAATTTAAAAATAAACCAAAGGATTTAATATTTATCCATTAATTAATAATTAATAAAATATATTAAATCAATTAATCATTAACTAATTAAATTAATCAAATAATTTAATCATAATCCTTACCCCCTAAATTTTCGAAATTATGGGTATAAGATTTATCCAATTTTATAATTATCCTTTTTAATCAAATTAAACTAACAATTACCAAAAATATGAAACCCTAACCATATAGCAATTTTCGAAAACTTGAGGATGAAGGTTAGGGTTTCAAATCCCTAACCCTAATTTCGAAATCCAAGGGAATGGGTTAGGGTTTCGAAAAAACCCTAACCCTAGTCAAAATTCTTGGCCTTTTAGGATTTAATTTCTATAAAACCTAATTGATCTAATTCAACAATTATAGCTATTCAATTGAAAATAAACCAATTGCTCTGATACCACTGATGGTATTTAGGTAAGACAAATAAACTTAAAACCCTTAAGTTCACATGCAACCTAAAGGATCTATGTTTTCACTATTGAACCTATAAATATGAACATCAAATAAGAAACCCTAGAAACCCTAGGTAATTTTTTGAAAACACCTAGAAGAGGGTTTAGTATCACATACCTTTCTTGTAGATCTCTTTGAAGCAAGCATCATAATTGTCGTGCCTCTAGTGGTTCACATCCAAGCTAGCAATAAGGAAAACTTTTGAGATAGGATAGGGGAGGCGTGAATTTTCGGGTATCCCTTATGGAATCAAGTGGTCATAATATGAAGGCCTTAGGGTCGTTTACATAGTGGTACAAGGAAGTCCTGGATAACCCTAATTGGAATATAATAATAATATTGTAAATTGGTAATTATCCAACTCCTTATTTATCCACATAAGATATTGTAGAAATCTTAGAATATCCCTAAAAACCGTCCAACCCTTAAGAAGGATGGTTCTGGAACCTTTTGCTCAATTATTGAACAATTACACTTCAGAACCTACACTTTTATTTAATTCTATTAATCCTGAAATTAATTCTAATTAATTTCTGATTAATTATTAATTAAATAATACTATTTCTAATTGATATATTGTTCTTATAATATATTAATAAACTATTTATACTAATTTATTACTCACATAATAAATAAATCTCTCTCTCTAAAAGTCATCATGTCCAATTGCTAGGTTTGAGGGCAATCCAAACAGACTGTGGTACTATCAATTCAAGTATATACCAATTATAGTTATGGGCTTAGACACCTAATCCAACAATAATTGCATTCTCAATTTCACAATATGATTACAGCATCCCTTTTCATATTTCAAATTGTGAGGAATGGCAAGGAATTGTTTAAACTTTCATGATATATATCTACAAGTTTTGAAAGGGATTAAACACACATATATACTATCCAATCAAGGTGTATAAGCTTAAGAAGTCTAGTTGGAGACTTATAGAATCATCGCTTAACAGAAATCTATACTTCAATAAGAAAGACAAGAGTATTGATTTCTAGAAATCTAGTTGATTTCTGGGTACATGTCAAAGCTAGTGGGAGCAGAAATTCTATGCTAGTATTGCATGTTGACAATATTGTTTGTAGGGAACAAAGTTTTAGTTTTCAAATTGAAAAGTTTGGGAATTGTTTCTCTATAATAGACATAAGGGAAAAGGCACTCATACTTCTTTTCAAAACTAAAAGTTTAGATTGTAGGGTTTAATAGAACTTTCATAAAAATATATGAGTATCATGTTGAAATGGTTCAACATAGGAAATCCGATATATAGAAATATTATAGCAAGAGACAGAACAGATATCAGATTCTTATGTAAGACATAATCGAGTTCCATATGCTTCTAATATATGATCGATTACATATGCTATAATATTCACTCATTCTAATTTTCCAAATACCTTGAGCATTGAGAGGAAAAGGATTAGAATTTTTGTGGGACTAGAGTTGTCAAACAATTGTTAAGAACATTATGAGGTTTACTGAAGTTTGGTTGCTTGTTGACAGCTGGAAGTATGGTATTGTTTAGAAGGACCATAGTGACATGTTTTAGATTGAGATGATTCTTGATCAAAATTGATGGTCATATGGGAATAAGGAAAAGTTTCCATAATGGGAGTTGATTATTAAGTCTACATGTTAATTGGAATCTTTAATGCAAGAGAAGTGTTCAAGGAGTGTACCTTGAATTTGAAACTTCATGGAATTGTTTCTAGTAACAAAGTTCCAATCGAATATTCTGTAATATCGTTGGCTCAGTCTCTTTGACTTAGAAACTTCGACATCACAGAAAAATCAATGCATGTAAGGTTGGAATTCCAATACATTTTAGACAGTGACAAGAATTTGGAATTGTAAAATATGCATCATTGGAATATTGTCCAGACGATTTGTTCACAAAGGAAGGACCATAGAGAGGCATAGTATGCATGTTGATAACATGACATGACTGATGTTTAATTCAAGTGGTTAGTTGACTACTCGAAACATTATACAATGAATAAAGTCGTAATTATTATGGTGATTGAATAATAGAGATTTATTTATTTTTAATTCGTTTGAGGCCATAGTTAGTTAGTTTATCATTGTGTTTCATTTTGCATGTTTTACTTCTAGAACATGTTTTGTTGAAATCCAATTTACTAGTCTTTTCGAAGAAACCAAATTTCTTAGGACGAATCACAAATTGTTCATGCCAACTAGAGATATATAACAAAAACCGCTAGATGTATCTAATCCGAAACATGTTTTGTTGAAATCCAGTTTACTGAAACTAGTTTGGTTTGATCCAATCCAATCAAAATGAACTTGGTCATATCCTAGATGTTGGAAACCAGTTTAGGGTCAAATAAGTGAAACTGGTAAATGAACCGATCCGCTGAAAAACTAGAAAAGAACTTATATGTGTAAGTCAGATTAGAACCGATTAAAACCCGATTAAGAACCGGACCTAAACCCTAAACCTATTTAGAGAAAAACCGATTTTGTGTATATCCTAAAAAACCAAACCAAAAAGTTCTCCACATTGATTTAAAACCGGATTTTGCATACCTCTAGGGTGAACTATGTCCATATGTAATACGTGTACCTAACAAAAGTATATTACCACAAATTAAAATTCCATCAAAATTTCCAACCAATTCGATCGTTACATAGAATTTTCAATTCTATTCTACCTCATTTTTAATTCTATCATATTCCAATGAACCAAACATCTAGCTAGTCTTATGCCCTTTCTTTGTAATCTTTATATCATATTGTTAATTTCAAAAGACAAAACAAACAAATGCTAGCATTTATATATGACAAAACAGACAAACCCTCTTTTCATTTCACTCTTCAAACATTCAAATGCAATATTATCAATTCCATTAAAAATTTGACCATGCATTTCGAACACAAATCTCATGGCTCTATAACAATATTGAACTTGAATCAAAAACCTTTATATACATTTGTACACCCCCTTCAACACTCTATATCATTGATCTATAAGTCATTTAACCAATTCCTATCACTTCCAAGATGTTCCTTGAATCTTAAGTTTAGTATCGGAGAGCTGTCAACAAGAAATAAACCTCCATTTTCCTTGGATCCTATTACATTTACCAATGAAGGCTGTACGTGATTTGAGCCCAAGTGTTGTGGCATTCTTTCATGTCCACTTTTTTGCCAATTTTGATAGCAAGATCCTGCCATAAATGGATTCATCAACAATTGGTGTTTAGGTGGTCTCAGCCATTGTGAACGGTCGTAAAGCGGGCTACCAAAATATGAAGGCACCAATACCTAATATCACAAACAATATATATATATATATATATATATATATATATATATATATATATATATATTAGGGGATTACACAAAAAACGAATGAAAATCCTCAAAATAAAGAACTCGAAAGATCGAATTGTTGACCCCAGGGTTTCAAGAGTGGTATACTTGCACATCTGGTCAAGGGTTCGAGTTTTAACAGTCTTATCAGTTTAATTTGAAAGTTTCAGTTCCAATTTACTTATTGGGGGGCTTTATACATCTTTTACTACAAATCATGGCAATGGCCAATGAGTCATGTGGGCCAAGCTCATAGCGGTCGGTAGAAGAGTATTAAACTCTTTTGCACGTAAAACAAACAAACAATTTTTAAAAACTATTTTTTTGGTTTTTTTTTCGTAAAAACTAAAATATTTGATTTGGTTTGTTTTTTTGTTTATGCAACAAATAAAAACCGTATGAACCGTATCTAGTTATGACATTGTATTTCTAACATACACAAGTTTCTTATTTCATTAATTATTTAAAATATTTAAATTCCATTGCATTGTTTTTAATATGTTGTTAAATAAAAAAATTTAAAAAAGTTTTTACTATTATATATTGCCAAAATTCAAAAACATCTTCTTCGGACTTTCCTTGATTATTGATTTTAACAAAAACATATATTTAATTGTACTTAAGAGCTTCAATATTCAATAACATTTCACTACCAAGTTAAAAACATCACCTGATTGGATTTAGCAGCAAGAAAACTTGTCTGATTGGTTGCCTCGTTCATGACACTTTCTTTGATTGTTTTCGTTTCCGATTCTTCGTGTGAATTTACCGTTTTACCCTCCGTAACTTTCAGTCTTTCGATGATTCGACATATATAAACATGACGACTGCATATCTTTCGTGACACATTTCCATCCCTGAAATCTTTACAATCCTAAAAAAACCACAAATAAATTACAAAACACAAAAATTGTAAAGGGTAACATAAGAACACGAAAAAAAAAAAAACTTTTACCTTTTTAGCATCAACTGTGTTTGTTGATTTATTCAAATCTTCAATCACAAAACCATTTTCAACCAAATCTTCTTCAGAGTTTGAAGTTTCCTTTTTTAAATTAAATTCAAATCTTTTATTATTTCCAGCCAATAAAAGCAAACCCGCAATTGCTTCTTCTTCATCTTTCGTTATTTGTTCTGAAATCGACTCTGAAATTGTTGAGTGTTGTCTTTCATCCTACAATGCATATAAAAAAAATTGGTGATTGAGAGCTTCAACACTAGTCTCCTTAAGACAATGAGGGCATTCACGTCTTTTTACATGTCAAACACAGTTAAATAATCGGCAAAAAGGTTGAAAATTTAAGAATTTTAAAAGTACTAACCTTATTAACTTTGAGCTTCTTATTATGATTTTCTAATGGCAATTCGAGTCTAAGAATTCCGTCTTTTGGATTTGGAAAAGAAGGAGAAACAGAGTCGTAGTGACGTTGCTTCATTGCTGTAAAAGGAATGATCAACCAACTTTATTACAATTTTGCCATTCGTTTTATTTTAAATCGAAAATTAATTAATATTATGTAACAACTATCTGTTTCAATTTCAAAACCTTACTCTGCAAATCGCTCTAACACAAATACGAATCTTGGTAACCCAATTAAAATTACGTTTTCTTATCAAGATTTAACCGAATAAATTTTGAAAAGTAGGAAATTTACGGATTAAAAACCTCGAAATTTAAGGACAATAAAAAGATTTAATACTTTATTCACAAAGGACTATGTCAAATTATACCGACCTGATCGTAATTTTCTTGGAATAGGTGCGTGATTAACCGTATAACAATCATCGAAAAACTGCAAATTCGAAAGGGGAAGAATAGAACTCATGATTAATGAATTAACCCAAATCGGATTATGAGAAATCAAGTTTATATGTGTTACTAATTACCTTTTTCGGAAGCTTTACTCTTTTGCTATTCATAGATTGATCGAATTTATTCACAGAAGTCATCTTTTTTAGCTTCTTTGAGGGTTTATGTGAAATTCCATCACTATCCTTGCCTTCTGTTACAAAACGAAATTAAGAAATCCATCAAGAATAAGAAAGAAACAGAGGAAGCCATTAACGGGATGAATTTAAGAACAATTGGGGATGGATAAAGACTAGAAAAGGCCGAATTTTGTTGGATTTTAGGTAAATTAGATCAAAAGGCAGGGGTAGTAAGGTAAATTGAATTAGTAGATGTAAATATCACCTGATTGTCGCATCGTTGCTGAGAATCGAGTGTATTCTTTCCCCATTTCTGCAAAATTCAAGATAATTCACGTAAATCAACTAAAAATAGTTCAGATTCTAAACCAAAATGCCGAAACAGGTAATGATTTCACAAAAATTGGGAGTTTTGATTCATTCTTAATACATTTCCATCATCTATGTATGAAGAATGAATTTTTGCAGATATCTCTGCGTATCTTTCTTCTGACAAGTAACAAAACTAACTCTCAAAATCTCTTTCTTTCTCTCTCACACAGTAACACTCATTCAAGAATTTGAGAAACTGGAGTTGGGTTCTTTCTTTCGTGCTCAGAGAATTTAGTTCTTCGCAAAATGAAGCCTTTTGATAGATAACCCTATTTCTCTCTCACACAATGAGCACACAGTGATACCACAGGCAAGATGAACAGATTCCAAACAGATAATAAACATAGAAGTATCAAAAAGAAAAGGTCTTGAAAGAACCAACTCGATCCCACAATCTCACATTCCGTAATAAAATTGTAGGAGTCGATCAAAAAGTTAAAGGAATACCCAATTCAGATGAGATTCGACTGATACGTTTAAGATCAAATTGAAGACATAAAAGCTTGGAATTGTCTGAAGATATGAAAGGATGTGAGAAATTACGAACGAAGAAGAGGAATTACTGAAATTTTAGAGTGCGAGAAGTGTTTGTTGGAATGCAATGAGAGCATTAATGGAAGATTTCTCACACACGAAAATTCACGATAGAGAATCTCTCTCTCTTTCGGAATCTGTAACAGACAACGAAGGAATAAAATGAGAAAAGGAACCAGAAGCTGCAAAAAGGAAAACGCTCTCTCTCTCTCTCTCTCTCTCTCTCTCTCTCTCTCCCCTACACATTTACAAAATTGATCCTTAAGTTTTATCATTTATGTGGGGTAACCTGAAAAGTTTCAATTTTATCCTTTCGCTTACTTTTATTGTGGATTAGGTCAAAACTCCAAATATCGATTTTACCTTTTAATTTATTTTTTTATTACTTTAGTTGTTTTAACATTTTTTTTATAAATAAGTAGATAAAATAAATCATTCTATCTCTCATGTCGACCGTTTTTACTCCATTAATATGAGTTATGGGTAGGTGAACAAAACTAAGAACATCAAGTCTATATTATCCGTCAACACCACCACTATTACGACAATCTGCCACCACCGTAGAAATCCAAACGAAGAAGATGAGGTATAGACTGGGGAAGAAGACCATCAAATTCGAATCCTTTGGACATAGATCCATTGAAGACAATGCAAGCGGTAACATTTCAGATTTGATGCACCATCCGAAGCAAGAACCCACAATTTTTGTTTGAGATTCTTTAACAACCTATGTCACTTTTAAGCAAGCACCAACATTTTTTTTTCAGAACTTGATCTTCATTTGAAGTTTAATCATGAACCTATCATCTATTTTCAATAAAACCCCCACCTATTAAAGTTCAATATTAACTTGAGGCCTTCATTTGAAGTCGAATTCTGAAAACCTCCATTTGGTTTTGGTTTGGAATAGAGGCTTAGGGTTGGGTTCAGTTTACCTTCAACAAGGTCGTCTCTTTTGTGTCTTTTTATATCCCCCATATAAATCGAGAACCCTCCAGGTAGTAATGATAAACATGAAACCCTTCGTTGAACTCGATTTTCATGTCTCGTTGTAAAAAAATGATGAACTCCACATCCCTTTTATATGAATTGATTTGTTATAGATTTGATGGGATTGAATTTCGTGTTTATAGAATGTGATGAGATTGATTTCAAAGTCAGTTTCTACTAAAAGGAAATAACTAGTGGGTTCGGTTGATAGGTTATATGGTTTCTAGCATGTAAGGGGGTCATGTTAATACATTAAAGTGACCATTTAGGCTATCTGAAGTTAATGATGTTTCGAGATGTGTTTACTGTCCAAGGTAGTGAAGTTTCGAAGAATGTTGAGTTTCCGACGTTAAGAGAATGATAGAAGAACTGAAGACTACTATTATTTTGTCTTGATGTATTTGTCTTGTTCTATGTAATACTTGTAGGAGATAAGATCAACCACAATGCATTCTCATGCGGTTGATCTGCAGTCAGTATTTGTCTTTATTGTATTGTCTTGTTCTATGTAATACTTGTAGGATATAAGATCAACCACAATGCATTCTCATACGGTTGATCTGCAGTCAGTATTTGTCTTTATTGTCTCATTTGTCCTTTATGCTCCTAGTAGTATAAATAGGAGTACCATTACATGTAATCACTAAGCCTTTATCAATACAAGAATCACATCTGTTATTCTATCATTCTCTTTGTGCATTCTCTTTACTTTACTTTAATATTATCTTGTACTGGATCTAATCCAGGCTTGACTGGAAATCTGTTATGTAACACCCTGTTTCGAGTTGTTTCATAATCTGGGATCGTGACATGAAGATCAATTATCACAAGGATTTGGGCCTTGGGGAAAGAGGGGTTTAGACCTATTTGGATGAGGGTAATGTAGATTATGTGATCCAAGAGTTCAGTTGTGCTTTAGAGCCCAAGGGTATAAGGGTATAAAGGAGAAGGAGAGTTAATGGGAGTGTAGTGCTTCTCATTACTTTTTCGAGCATATAAAGAACACCAAAATCGGACTTGGGATGTGGAAGTTATGGCCTTTGGAAGTTTGAATGGTAAGGGGTTTGCCCAATACACTGGGCGTACAAGGAATATTCGTTGGGCGTACTTGGCCTTTTGATCGCGGGACCATACCCTAGACGTTGGGTGTACCTGGAGTATGTTGGGCGTATGCCAGTCAAATGCAAACCCCAAATTTATGGTCTTAGACCCTATTTAAGGTCCTTAACTACTTCCCAACCCTTATTATCTCTAGCCTCCATTCCCTCTAACCCTAAATTCAAAACCCTAGCCCCATTTGGAAGGATATTTAGTCTTTGAGTGATTTTGGTGATTTTTTGGTGCATTTAGAAGAAGAACTCCTTAAAGAAGTATTGGTTTTCTTGGAGCTTGTAGATCCAGGCCTTGTTCATTTTGATCTCGCTTCTGGAGGTATAAAGTTTTAATCTTGATGTTCTTCTCAATTGGATCTAGTTTGGGTTATGAATTGTCGTGTTTTGGTCCCATGGTTGTGGTTCTTGTGAGTAGAAGTTACTCCAGAACCATTGAGCCCCATTTCTGGTCTTTGTTGAGGTCATTAAGTCATAAAAAATTGATCTTGATGAGTATTATCCTCCCATGCATGCGTTAGTGAACTTTTGATGAAGTTATGAATGTAGGGCTTTGTTTTGGACCCCATTAAGCCAAAAAAAGTCATAAAGTCAGATATGGGGTGTACTAGACTGGTATGCGGGGCGTACTCACGAGATACCCTTATTGGGCCTTGGATCTTTTGGGAAATTGGGCCATGAGTTGTTGGGTCAGATATGAGAAGCGTAAAATGGTCTTTTACCCATTGGAATGATAGAATGCGAATTGGACCTTGGATTATGGGAAATTGCCTTAATTATTAATTAGGGATAATTTGGTTGTGTTTAGTGTGAGGAGCCCGGTAGCAGCAGCAACATGTGACTCAGTTATCTCGGATTGAGGTGAGTCTCCTTACTATACTCGTGGGTCGAAGGCACCAATGTCAGCCCACTAGGATCAATTATATGCTATCTATCTTTGTGACACTTGCATGGTATGTTGGGCTAGGCCCATTTTATGACGAGAAAGGCCCATTTGTATGACGGGCTAGTGAAACATCCCAAAAATACGGTCCAAAAATTTCATTTTAAATCATTAATAAAAACCATAAGTATCATTTATCATATAAAAGTCATAAATCGTGTATCTCAAAAATATCATAACATTTGTCAATATATCAAAACAATATGTCAAAACATCATAGTAAATCATCCCACGCTAAACGTTGTGGTGTATGCCATGCAGTCATCCCGAGCTCTTCTCCTTACTAGCGGAAGTACCTGAAACCAAAACTAAAAACTGTAAGCACGAAGCTTAGTGAGTCTCCCCAAACTACCACATACCATACACATAGCCACATAATAGCATACATTGGGCCTTGCCCACTACATCGGGCCCCGCCCGACATCGGATGAATCCGGCATCGGGCCAAAGTCCGGCATCGGGCCCCGCCCGGCATCGGACTAAAGTCCGGTATACATATAACATATCATCAAGCATATAACATAAACACAGACATAAACATATAAACATTCCTCGGGCTTTCCCCGGCATCGGACCGAAGCCCGGAACATATAGACATAACATATAAGCTAAACATTCCTCAGGCTTGCCCTGGCATCAGACCGAAGCCCCGAACACATAAAAAAACACATGCAAGAATCACGAAGACATCGAGCATACAAACATTCTGCAGGCTTTCCCTGGCATTAGACCGAAGTCCGGAAACATATAACCTCCATCGGGCTAACCCCGACATCGGACCTAAGTCCAGCATATGCTAACATACATAAACAGGCCGACATTGGTGTAACGACCCAAAAATCAAGGGTAAAAATTTCATTTTTAATATAGCTAAAACATTGATACCATTTATTGTAAACATTCTAAAACACCATTAAGTGAAACATTTATCAGAGTTCATCCCGAAATCATTCATTGCGGAAACCATAGGTGTGTGCACTGCGATCAATCCGAGCCCTTCATTTCCAAATCGATGCAACTTGAAACCAAAATTGTAAACCGTAACCACAAAGCTTAGTGAGTCCCCCAGAGCATACCCCACACACAATCCACATATCACATATCGTATTAGCTGTAAAAAGCTATCTCTACCGTTATCACATATCAATCAGCTATAGAAGCTACTCTACCACATATCACATATCAAATAGCTATAAAAGCTCTCTATAACATTAGCACATACCAATTAGCTATAAAAGCTGCTTCTGCTACATATCACATATCAAATAACTATAAAAGCTATTTCTACCATTGGCACATATCAATTAGCTATACAAGCTATCTCCACCGTTAGCCACAAAGGCTATCTCTACCATTAGCCACAAGGCTATCTCTACCATCAGCCATAAAGGCTGTCTCTACCATTAGCCACAAGGCTATCTCTACCATCAGCCATAAAGGCTGTCTCTACCATTAGCCACAAAGGCTATCTCTACCGTATATCATGCATACATACATATTACACACCTCTACATAGCAAATATACCAACTATCATAAAATGGGCCGGCCTTGGTGCCTTAGACCCATTGGTATGGTGAGAAGACTCACCTCGCACTGCAGAACTGATAAGCTGAAATCAGACATATCCCGCATGCTACTGTTGGATATAGTGTCTAAGTCCATAACTTTATTTGGTATGTACTTGACCCGACCCGGCATGGTCCATTTGGGTTGCATGGCATTGCAATACTTGGATAGACTAAATGAGAGAATAAGGCACTTATGATTATTAATATATTATAAGTTCTAATATATTAATAATAGTATTATTTAATTAGTATTGATCAAGTATTAATCTAGGATTAATTTGGTGATCAAAGTGAGACTAATTAAATATATAGGGTTGATTATGACAATCATCAATTCTTTTATGGTGGATTAATGATCCATGGTTTATGGGTTATGGATATAACCAAATGAAGCTCCATGGATAGTCCATGGGAGTTACAAATCCATGGGTCATGGGAAATCAAGAGTCATGACAATTAAGGGCATTCGTGTGTAAACCCTAATTGTGACAACACTATAAAAGGAACCCTATGGCTAGCAAAATGGAGATCTAGATGACCTAGTGGACCTAGTGTTACTAGAGAGGGCATAACCAATTTTGAGTACTAGAAGTATTCTCTCAAGTTATTCCAAGTCTTGTGGTGTTGTGTGAAGCATTTGAGGCACAACATTTGGGGTGCTAGGCTCACAAAGTCTTGAAGGAATCCAAGCAACAACAAGGTATGTATTTCTACTAGTTTTATGTTTTATGTAATCCCCATGCCATGCTAGTTAGGAAATAACCTTGAAAAAGAAATTTGCATGTATATAGAGAAAACATAGATTCAAGGTTATTAGGGTTGCATGTACACTTAGGAAGTGTTAGAATGCTCAAAACCCATCAGTGGTATCAGAGCCTAGGATTGTTTTCTGTATACTTGATGCAAAACTGCTTAAAAATCGAAAATTCTGCATTCTGACGACTGGACTCGCCGAGTCCATGGGGAGGACTCGCCGAGTCCATGAACAAATTCATTCTACTCGCCGAGTAGAATAGTGCACTCGGCGAGTAAGAGCGTGCTGGGCAGTTTTTT